TTTCTCCATTTTCATCTGGTTTCCATGTTTAATTATGTCAAGTCAGTATATCTTAGTCCTAGTCCTAGTGTTAGTTACTTCCTGTTTTATTTTGATAGGCCTTCATCTCGTATGCATTATTTTCAGTTTTGTTTCCCTTAAATAGATGGAATGACTCTATTTAACCATGACCTCAGACTGTCCGAGGTCTTGGTGGTTATGATAGGGATGAACTGCTGACCCATGCAAATGATTTCAACTATTTTAAGACGTTTTAATAATTAAAGATAAAATGGTGCAAATGAGTTGCTAAGACAAAGACAGCATGCTCCATCTTTATTGTTATTTTTAGTGTATCCAGTAATGGAAGACTACTAATTAAATTACTTGGCATCATTTCAAGAGTCTTTTGAAAATTGCACTGACATGAATTAAAATGTAAGGTTTAAAAGTAAATGAGTATTCTACTACTTTAACACATCAGATGAATTATACCTCCCGCCCATGAGGAAAATTGATGGTATGCTCAGTGAACAGAAGAAGAAGTTGTTGAGGAGAGTCAACATGAGTGCTCAGCACCAGGTAAAGCTTCATATCCTTCTGTTTTGGTTTTATTTGGCACTTCTCAAATCACTTTGTTTTAGAGCTTTGTTGAAGATGATTCACCATAGTCTAAGTGTTAAACCAGATACATTTTTGTTAACTGAAAACATTTCTTTGCAGAAATCTGATTCTTTGTGGCTTTAAGCTAAACGTGACCTTTGTCTCATGATGCCAATTTACTTTCATCATCCAGGAGGCTTTGCATATATTCCCCAAAATGACAGCAGATCCTGTGGAATCTGGAGTTGTCAAAGTTCACCTTGGTGGGGAGGGCTACAACCGCAAGACTCTCAACCGAATCAAGAGGAGCATTCCTAAGCAGCAGGTGAGAAAAAGCTATGACGTTGCACTTTTATGTAGTCAATACCCTGTGCCTGGTGTTACAAGCTGAAAGGCAATCTGTTGTTATCCAACAGCTGTCTAATCGCTCTGAAGGTTTTTCAAAGTTTTTCTTTTGACCTTGGCTGCTTTTTCAATAATTTTTAGTCCATTTTTAGAGGAAATATTTTTTTGGTTGTGGAACACTGACCTATTGATCATTCAAGTATAAAAAGGGATTTAAGCCAGTGGTTTGGGGGATCTTGTCAAAATTGACGAAATAATGAAACCATAAACCTACAGTCAGATTTTCATCCACCATACATTACCATCTGGAATGCAACTTATTGGCAACAGCTTTATTTTTCAGCATGACAGTGACTTCAACATTACTGAGGCAGTGTGTAATGGTCTTGAAAGAGACCTGAACAAAACGCAGCCAACATCCAAAGAAGAACTTTGAATGTCCTTCAAGAAGCCTGGAGAATCATTCCTGAAGACGACTTAAAAGAAATACAGGGAAGCTTGCCTAAGAGAGTTGTGTTGTGAGGCTGTGTTGAAGAATAAAGGTGGTCATAACCAAATATTTACAGACTGTCAAGCTCTTTAGAATTGTACAAACTCTGGTTTTACCTTATATAATGCATTTCCCATTTTCCTAACCATAAAGAAATAATGGACTCAAAACTTTTGCACACTACATGAGTACATCATCACACCAGTTAGTCTGAATCTTTTTAATAATTATTATGTGCAGGGCATATGTCAGAGGCAAGATTTAGAAAAATCCACACAGTTCAGTACAGTCAGTACAATTACAATCAGTAAAAGAAAAGCATATAACCTTTTGTAGACACTAAGGATATTTCTATTTACTTTTTCACAAACATTTTTTTGTTAGTTTAAATCTTTTTTCAAAATTATAGTTTTTATTTCTATTTTAACTAAATAAATAGTTTAACACGTTTAGGTTTAGTTTTTAATTTAGTTTTTGTTAA